CGTAGGAAGGATAAATCGGACGTGGTGTATTGTGCGCAGCCCGAGTTCATAGTAGTCCAATAAAGTTCACAATTGTTGGGCAGGACAGGATTCGACTCCTCGCGTCGGAATATGTCAGGCATGAGGTTTTTCCTTCCTTCATTCATTTTCTTTTGCAAAGCTGGAAGCGGCTCTATGCCGAGAGGTGGACGAACAGTGTGCTCCTGCGGTTCTACTGTTCGAAATTGAACTTGATTTTTGAACCACTGTTTGGCGCACGGCAAACATCGAAATGCGGATGTGGCCGTGCTCGGCACGTTACCGCATTCTGTCATTTTCTTTCCGATATGTTCGCAGTTGTACCAATCCGCACTCGACTCCCCGTGTCCGAATTGCGAGGGTTTTCTGTCACCCGGCACCGTCACTGTAACCACTTGACTCTGCTTGACTCCGCAGTCCGACCCCACTCCTCAAAAGTGTATGGTCGTCCAATCTGTTCATGCACCACTAACTTACGGCCTTAGTACCTTAGCGTATCGGTTCTTTGCCTTCGTCAACAAGGGCGCCGAAACCTAATCTAGCCATGCTCTTTCACCCGAAGAAGGGTGCTAAGAAAGACACACCTGCGTCGCCGCCGAAGAAGCCCTCTGGCGCGCCCCGTCCGAAACCTATACCCAATGACGACGAGGAGGAGTTCAAACTTCCCGACACTCCCTTCCAGGAGTTCAAAATCATGTCGTCCGCGCTCAATGGCTGGAAATATGATGTCATGAAGTTTGATTCGCGCAAGCCGGTCGACCTGACGGCGTGGCGAGTACCAATCAAACTGAACAGGAAAGAGATTCGCCGCGACGATGCGTCTGGGACGCTGGTCGCTGTGGGTCCGATGCTGGGTCTGGATGGCAAACCTGTCGTCGGTCTCGACGGCAAATTTGTGGTGGTCGACGCGGAGGGCAAACCAATATACGCGGACAGTGGGCGGGACGCCAAGAGGAAAGGGCCAGCCGCCAACTTGAACGGGAAGAAGAAGTTTCAGAAGAAGACCAGGCAGGTCTACGTCGTTCCTGAGGAGGTGCGGCAGTTGCGGAGGGAGGAGAGATACCCATGGGTTATGGAAGACGCTACGCAGTCGGAGACATGGGTCGGCCAGCTGGAGGACATCTCCAAAGCTGACACACGCCTTCTTCGTGCCTGCGGCGAACGGCATCTTCAAATTTGTCCCGGCGCATAGATGGTACACATTTCAGAAGAAGGTCAAGCACGACCTTCCGACCGACACTGTGAATATGGAGTCTGCAGTGCGTATGATACCAGCTCCGATTTGTATCATATATGTACTACTAACTATGGACAACAGTACACGAAGAGCCAGAAGCGTGACCCTCAGCAATGGTTATTCAACCGAAATGGCAAAGGCCCTTCCGACGAAACTGCTGCTATGTTCAAAGCCGCGTCAGAGGGTCGCGCTCTTGCAGGCAGCAGCTCCCTTGTCCACATCACAGGTTGCAGTTTAGCACCCGGCGGAAGGAAACTCAAGATCGTGGACAGCGGTATGAGCAATCTGTTTGCAGACAGCGAGGACGATGACGGTGAAGCCAAGCGACGGCTGGAGAAGGAATATGGAGGGGAAGGAGATTTGGATGAAATGGTCTATGAAGCAGATTTTGCGGACGACGAGGAGAAGGTGGATCTCGATGCGGAGGACGAGGAAATGAAGGATATCGAGGTGCGTCTTTGAACCACGTTTGTCGCTTGTAATGGTCTTGATTATTTGCACAGGAGCGACTCAAGAAGGGGTACAAGAGCGCGAACAAGCAGCGCGATGGGCACATCGATGAATCTGACGACGAGGAGCTGCCCGTGATGACGAAACAGGCAAAGGCCATGCAGAAGCTCATTCGGGTGCGGGAAGGGAATGATGCGTACGATAGTGATGATGAACAGAACCCGTATGCCAGCTCGGCAAGTATATATCATTTTCTCCGATTTTTTACTGACGATAGGTTGCTATCAGGAGGAAGAGGAGGAGGAAGCCCCTGGCACTACATCTGAAATGGTCCTGGGTTGATTTTCGTTGAGGAAACCAGACTCGGAGGACCCTTGGATGAGATTTTGAACCTGAGTTGGAATAAATGGTTCAATTCCGTGTTGTATCCGAAACCGTGGGCAGTCTATAAATCACGAAGTTATGATTCAGCGACCATCTGCGTTCTTCCTCGCTCTGTTTCACTGAGTTGAGGCACACACGGCCTGTCTGATGTTTGAAATGGCCTCATGGGATTATCCGTCTCCGAATTCAGCATTCATGGATGTTTTTGGTTCTCGCAAAGACCGGTGTTGGTAGAGGAAGTATATGTGTTCAGACAGACAAATAACTCTGCGGTGAATGCGAAAATTCAACATTTTCGTGTCGGATCTGGTTAAACTTGATAAGTATTTGATTCAGCCCTCGGTTAGTCGAGTTTATGTCGAGGCATGCCTTGATATTGAAGTTATATGGAATGGCAAAGAATCGGACGTGGTGTAAGGTGCACAGCTGAGGTTCATGCCCTTAGCAGGGCAGGGTTCAAGATATTTTTAAAACATTTTTTTTCCGCTTCATACAATGCCTAGTACTTAGTTGCACACCGGTTCTCGATTCAGGCTCAATGTGGTTGAACCTGTGTTGATAATGAAATGGAGGTTTGAAAGGCTTTTAGTTTAAATGACACATGTAGTTCAAAAATGCTCTCCAATAAAGAGGTTCAGCTGGTGAGCAGGAAATCAGATATGGTGTATGGCGCACGCTCTCTTGCTTCCTCTCCACCTCCTGAATATGGAGGGGTAGACGGGGTTTGATTCCTTGTGTCCGAACTAGTAGCTCAACAACTTCTTTTACTTGAGACCGGCATCGATCCATGGCCTCACCCCATTGCACAAGGAACGGTGCTCATGGAAGTTGTCCAATTTCTTTTCTGGCTCAACCATTCACATATTGGCAGGGAGTCAGTGTAAAGTGATTGAGTATATAGTCAAAGAGGCCCTGGTACTAGTAGTAAGGTTCAGTTATAGCGCAAGAAATCGGATCTGGGGTGTGGTGCATGGCCCTAGAGTATAGTTGCCGTTAGACCGTTCCTGGGGCAGGACGGGGTTCGATTCCCCACGTCCGAATAGTATGCCATTTTTGACAGTTGTTTCCCCCCCTCACCGTTTTCGTTCATCTCCTGCACAGCTACATGTAACGCCGCTATCCTATTTGAAAGTGAAGCATGCACACCGTAATTTTAGATTCTGCGATTCAGACTCGATGCGGTTATTAGAGAGTTTGCGGTAGCCACCAGATGAAACTGGTGGCTTTCACCACGGACAAATGCAGGGCGGCTTCCTCTCACCTAGCCACTATTTTATGGTCTCCCTCAGAGCTACGAATAGTGGCTGCCTTGGTCCGATGGAATTGCTCACTGTCCAGAAAAATTAGCCACCAGTCCGATCTGGTGGCTACCGCAAACTCTCTATTATAAAATAGTGTTGGGATATCCGGATGGCTTTCGGCGCACGGGTGTCACATTACATGCCCAAGAAATGCTCTCTGATAGGGAGCAGTCTGAGGGCAAGACATCGGATATGGTGTATGGTGCACAATCCTAGCCTCTGACCTCTTGATATTTCAAGCTCACGGAAATCTGGGGCGGGACGGGGTTCGACTCCCCGCATCCGAATGCCTCGTAACGAATTCTTTTTCTTTTGCGTTTAATTCATCGAAGGCCGCATGATCACGGTTAACAAAAAAAAGTACCAGAAGCATTCTCTCGCATCCCGATGCATCTTGAGAAGGATAAATCGGACGTGGTGTATGGTGCACAGCCCAGGTTCATACACCATCTTTGAGTTTCATAATTGTTGGGCAGGACGGGGTTCAATTCTCCGCATCCGAATCATTTCTCGGACTTGATTTTTCTTTCACATTTCGAATTTGGGTTTTTTTTGGGGGGTGAAAAGCTGCACGCGGCGCTGTAGGGGCGAACATACAGTGTGCTCCAGGGCTCTACTGTTCGGAGTCAACACGGTCACAATATTGAACTGAGGCTCGGAGGGCTTTCGTTCCTTGGTTCAAATTTAAAATGGTCTCTAATTAACGAGGTTCAGCTTGAGAGAAGAAATCGGATATGGTGTATGGTGCATCCCCTGACCCGTGCGCTGTTACGTTTCTAGAAACTACGCAGGGTAGACGGGTTTCGATTCCCTGTGTCCGAATTCGTTTCACTGGACTTTTTCTCATTTTTTTCTTACATGAGACGCACTCCCTCGATGGCTTGGCCCCACACCCGGAGTCCTTTCAAAGCAACCAATGTGCTTTGGGGATTCCTAATTTCCTAAGTCCTTTTTCTCCCGCCCAGTTCTCAGCGATTGAATATTGCTGTAATGCAATAGAGTTTAAAGTTGCCGAGTTCCAAAAGAGTCGGGTATTAAGCAGCGAGGTGCAGTTGCACTGCAAGAATCGGATGTGGTGCATGGTGCACAGCTCAGCTTTATGAATAGTTTTGCGTTCGCTTTCTGGGCAGGACGGGTTCGATTCCCTGCATCCGAATTACAGTTTTCACACTGTTACTTTTTGTTCCTCCACCCCGACACCTTTATTTCTCTGCATAGGTGAGTACAGAATATCCTGCCTAGACGTGAATGTACCACATGCTCTCTCCGTCCTAGAATTCCGAGTCGACGGGGTCGAACTTTGGTTGAACCTGAGAGTCGGCTGACCTTTGATACGATGCAGCTCATGTTATCAGGCCAAAAATGCTGTCTGATAAAGGTTAAAATTGAGAGCAAGAAATCGGTTATGGTGTATGGTGCACGGCCCTAACTTCTGTCCTCGTGATGCTGGAATTCTGGGGCGGGACGGGGTTCGATTCCCCGTGTCTGAATATCTTGATTTTCTTTTGCGTTTTGCGTTTTGATTCATTGAAGGTCGCATGGCCACGGTTAATCAAAGAAAAGTGCCAGAAGCATTATCTCATATCCGGATGCATCTTAAGGAGGATAAATTGGATATGGTGTATGGTGCACAGCCCAGATTCATATGTCGATCAAAGTGGTCCTTGTTGGGCAGGACGGGGTTCGATTCCCCGTATCCGAATCATTTCATGGACTTGCTTTTTTCTTTCGCATTTCGAATTTGGGTACTGTGGTCTTTTTCTTTTTCTTTTTGGCAAAGCTGCACGCGGCCTAGAGGTGAACATACTGTATAGTCCTACGGTTCTACTGTCCGCAGTCGACACGATCAAACTTGGGTTCATTGCAATATTGAATTGACGCTCGGAGGGCTTTCGTTCCTTGGTTCAAAATGGTCTCTAATTAACGAGGTTCAACTTGAGAAAAGATATTGGATATGGTGTATGGTGCATCCCCTGACCCGTTCGGCGTGATAAAGGCAACTACGGAGGGGTAGACGGGGTTCGATTCCCCGTGTCCGAATTCTTCTGTGGTCCATTCTTTTTTTACGTGAGACCAGCTCCCTCTATGGCTTGACCCACCGCTTAGAGTTCTTTCAAAGCAACCAACGTGCTATGGGATTTCCAATTTCCTTTCTTCCGCCAAGTGTGCAGCGATTGAATATTGCTATAACGCAATAGAGTTGAAAGCTGCCGAATTCCAAAAGAGTCTAGGGTAAGCAGCGAGGTGCTGATGATGGACTCAGAGTCCATTTTCTGGGCAGGACGGGGTTCGATTCCCCGCATCCGAATTGGCACTCGAGGACAGGTTTTTTTTTTTGTTCCTTCGCTCCGTGACCTTTATTTCTCTGCATAGAAGTACAACATGTTTCTCGAACTCCGAGTCGACGGGGTTGAAATCGAAACTCGGCCGAGTTTCGATATGCTGCAGCTCATGTTATCAACAAAATGCTGTCTGATAAAGAGGTTCAACCTGATAAATCGGATATGGTGTAACCCTACCTTGTTGCTGTTCCGGGGTACATAATGGAGGGCTGGACGGGGTTCAATTCCCCGTGTCCGAATGCGATCAAGGTCCAGATCTTTTTGGTTTTCTTTGTGAATGGGTTGCGGTGGGGGGAGTCTCGGCGCGTGCGGGACTTTTTTTGGAATGGTCACCAAGGACGAAGCATGGGAAAGTTCTGACTGTTGAATAGAAATGATGGCTCAAATGTTTCTACTGCATGTTCAGAAATCACCCAGGAGAGCATGGAATCTCAATTCCGCACTCCGCCACGATTAGTCTGCAGGCCGTCTGGTGAGTTGAACCTTGGCTGCGGCAACTCCCGGCGCGCGTGATGTGTGAAATGGCCTGATGGGCTTAGTGGATCTTTCCGTTCTGCTCCACCTCTGACGACGTTCCCCTCTGCGCGAAAGCTCGCAAATCCACTCTCCTTTCCGACTTCCACCCCGAAGTATTTATCAACGAAAATAATCGCGCGCAATGTCTCTGCCACTGTGTAAGTCCTTTGATTTGCGGTTATCTCCGACTCCGGACGGGCGAGACCACCCCTGGCACGTTTTGTGCTATTTTTCGTGCCTGCGCTGCGCCACGATTATAACTTGGGGTTATCCATCGTGCACGCGAGCAGCTGGCCATGTCCTCCTCCAGCGTCTCCGTCCCCACTCCCGATCCTCCTCCACCCAGCGGCTCCGACTCTGGTCTCCTATCTTTGTCCCCTGTTTTCAGTTTTACTGATTTTTTTTGGTGGATTTGTAGCCGGAATAATACCCTCCGACCCACTCAGCGGGCTATTCCCCTCAGGCAGCAGCGTGAGCGCCAGCGCCAGTGACAGCGCAAGCAACAGCGCAAGTGCGAGTGCGACCGACAGCGGGAGTGGCAATAGCGCAAGTAACAGCGCAAGCAATAGTGCGAGCAACACGGTGTCATCTGCGCCGCCGCCGCCGAGCTCGACCAGCAGCGCTTCGCCCAGCGTACTGACGACTCCGTCGGTGACTGTGGGTCAGTCGACGTTCCTGTACGTGTCTTCTTTTTTTGTCTCACTTTCATTTTCTTCATTTCCTGCTTGTTTCTCTGCTCTACTTGGCGGCGGATTCGCTTTCTGGCCACTTGGATGTTGCCATGGCTCCCCGCGCCTCGCGCCATCGAGCGCGATATTTTCGCGCCTCGAGGCCCCACCACCACGCGCGCTCCACACTTCCCGCACGCGCTCCATACTTCCCGCACATCTCCGACTCGCATCGCATCGGCCCGCACGCACGCACTTTTCTGGCACACCTCGCACCGCTTCTGCCCTCCGTGTGTGCCCGATTTACATATTGCCCCCCATCATCTCCGACTCCGATCCCGACTCCGAGGCACCCTGGTCTCGGACTTGCCTTTTCGCATCGCTGCCCATCTTCCTTCGCTTTCCGTGCTTACTACCGCTCCACTGCGGTCGGTCTCACGCGCCTCCGCGGGCTTCTTTGGCCGTGGAGCGAGCTCTATTCCATTCTTCGCGATCATGCGATGATGGAGTTCTTTTGATGCGTCGGCTGGGGCGGTTTCGCTACCTAGTGGGTCTCACCGCATGCATCTCGGGCTCGCAGGCATCAGCTCATATCGCAGCGGCGTGCTATTCGCGGCGCGATGACGTGCAATATGCTATTTGCGATGCTTCGATGGTGCGATGTGGGTGCCGCGGAATGCACTGCAATACATTGCAGGGGGCGCGACGTCGGGCTCGGGATACGGATACATGGAGAATACGCTTGCCATGTGCGAGGCGGCGTTCATGCCCGTGCTGCTGCATTCCATTGCCGGTGGTGTCGGTGTCGGGCAGGCGATGAGCCGCCCTGGTGAAGCCATCTACCTCGCTATGGGGAGATCGTATGTCGACCTTGGTTTGCCCGCCAATGCACGTTCGATGGTGTCTTGGGATGTACGCGGGTCCTGCCTCTGTCAGGCCGCGTCTTACGTCTCTGTTGTGCTGGAGGTTGCAGCGGGTGTGTGGTGCGCAGACCTTCGGCGCTGCACTTTCTGTCGGGAGTGTAGTGGATGCTTTGGTCGAGTCGTGGGCTGTTGAGTCGATGGAGTGTCGTGGGCAGGTCGCACCGCACGATTTTCTTGTCTACCTTCTCTTCTTCCATTTTATACATATCTATTTAACTCATTTCTTCTTTTCTCTTCATCCCTGTCCCCTCCTTTCCTCACTAACCCCTCCCTCTTCCCAGCTCGACCTCCAACGGCGTCGTCTTCACCGAAACTGTCCAAACCACCTTCACCCTCCCCGCCGGCGCCACCATCACCCCCTCCTCCCACGTTCTCCCCGCCGCAACAAGCCACACCGGCGCCATCGCCGGCGGCGTCGTCGGCGGCGTTGCCCTCCTCATCCTCCTCGCCCTCCTCGCGTGGTTCCTCCGCAAGCGCGCTAGGGAGCGCGCCAAGGAGGCCGAATTCGACGGCAACTTTGACCCGGGACGCACCACCGGCGCGGGGCCGACGCTCCCCGCGATCGGTGCGCTAGGCGCGCATGGGCTGATGACGCCGGAGGAGGAGGACGATGGGGTGGGCGGCCGGCTGGCGGGGAGCAGTATCGGTGGCGGGGTGGTGACGCCGTTCCCGGCTGCGGCGGGGCACCAGTACTACGCCGACCCGCACACCGCGGGGCAGCAGCACGCGTATTATGGTGGTGCAGCGGGAGGGTATGACGGGGCGAGCATGAGCGAGCGCAGCCCGACGGCGAGCTATTATCCCGGGAGCTCGTCGCATGCGGGCGGGGGCCCGATGAGCGCGACGAGCGCGGGGTCGTCGTCGCACTACACCAACCCGATGAGCGCGAAGGAGCGCGAGGCGCGTGGCGGGGGGCTGGCGGTGGCGAACCCTGGGCCATATGGGCACCCGATGCACATGCCGATGCCCGCGCCGGGTGTTATGAGCCCCGGGGTGGGGCCGCTGCCGAATCCGCACTCACCTGGGAGCCAGCAGAGCGGGGGGAGCGCACATGGGAGCGGGGTGTTGGTGCATACTGATGGGGGGCGCGTGCCGGACCAGAGCGCGGGCGAGGGGATGCGCGAGATTCCGCCGACGTATGATAGTATTCGGTCGTAAGGGACTCAGTCGTGGGCGTGCGACCTGACCTTGGAGCGCAATGCCTGGGATGGAATGGCAAAGAGGAGAGGAGAAAAGAGGAGATCTAGCGGGCATCTCTTTGAATGAATCTACGTGACTATTGACGATACCCGCCCCACTTACATGCTTAAATCTACACTACCGTATCGTATAGTATTATTACTGCTGCCAGCGGCGGGCTTTTGTATGATGGACTGTGACGAGCCGACGATATCGTACTGACTTTGTATCGCGTTGGACTGTAATTGTTTTAGAGAGTCGATGTATTACAGTGGAAATACAGGGATGAGTTGAATACAATCAGACAATAATACATCTACATTCCTTCGCCTAGAAACACAGGCCCACCGCGGTGTGGCTAGTCACCGCCAATAGCGGCCGCCTTCATATTCTCCAATTCCTCCCAAGGAGGCAAACCGTAAATGGTCGGAAGTACGTCCCAGAACGCCTGCCGGGCCTCTTGGTGCGTCTTCTTGAGTACGATGAGGCAAGGAGAACACACCGCGAGGCCAAACGTCCAGTCCCATTCCCGCCAGACATCGAGCGGGTTGGCAAGAGCGGCAGCCCCAGTGACACTGAGCGCCACGAGCCGGTTTCTAGCGCATTTGCGTGGGTGCGCGCAGCCCGGAATGTCTAGCGGGGTGCAAAGGAACCGCAGGACATTTGTGTGCGTGGCCGCCTTCTGCGCGCCGAAGCCGTGGAAGAAGCAGCGCCGGTCATGCGACGAGAGGTCGGTCTGGACGCCCGTGTAGTCGTCCCCCGTGTAGGCGTGCTCGATAAACGTCTTACTGGATACCTCGCCGTCGAAGGCGTGGGCGAGGAGGTAGAACGCGTAGGGGAGGATCCATAGCGCATCGAGCTCGCGCGCGAGCTGGATAACAGCGGCGGCTCCGCGAAAGACCAAGACCATCTTGTTCCAGGAGCATACCATACCCGCGTCGCGCACCGCCAGCGTTGTCGGATACCCCGAGGAGAGGTGCACGACTGCGCGCCGCCGGAGATAGTCCACTTCGTACTTGTTGCTCAGCCGGAGGACACCAACAACTGTATCGTAGGTGGTTACGGCTGGGTGGG